AGGTGAAATCAACAAGAGACTCTGAGGAGGTGAAATCAACAAGAGACGTTGCAGAGATGAAATCAACAAGAGATGTTGCAAAGGTGAAATCGACAGCTCTTAGCAACAACTTGGGTATGGGGGATGGTGAGAAAGTCCATTATGATTCTGAGATTGGGGAGCCTGAGGGATGGGAGGATGGTGATACACTTGGCAGTAATAGGGAAGTTCGGTGGACTATGGGAGGCAAACAGGCTTAGTGGGTGGAGAACGGTCCTGGGAGTCAACAAGAGCTGAGTTCAAACTCTGTTTTTGCCCCATACTGGCTGTATGATGCTAGACACATCCATTGACCTTATATCCCCAGACAACTCTCAACCACTGTAAATTGCAGAGACGGTAAAGATCTGCATGGGTGGAGGGAGTTTCTTCATTGGAAGGTGAGTGAGAAGGGGCAGGAGCAGAGGCTAATGGAGCAGAGGCAATTATATACTGCATGCAAAGCCTTGGGAATACACAACCACAAAGAGGTTCATTTTCTTGGTGGTGGTGGTGGGGCTGTCACTGACTAATCTATGCAGCATCCAAATGGTAGAGTGCTAAGAACACTGAACTTGGAATCAGATGACTTGGCTCTGAGCCTCTTCTCTGCAGTTTATTAGCCTCATTATCTAGGACAAGTCCCTTTCTCATCCTGTGCCTCAGTTTCCTCTTCTGTAAAATGAAGGGGGGGTTGGACTAGATGGTGTCTAAGATCCCTTTCAGCTGTGATCTATAATTATAATTATTATTATTTTTGGTGAGACAATTAGGGTTAAGTGACTTGCCCAGGGTCACACAGCTAGTAAGTGTCAAGTATTTGAGGCTGGGTTTGAACTCAGGTCCTCCTGACTCCAAGGCTGGAGCTCTAACCACTGGACAACCTAGCTGCCCCTGTAATCTACAATTCTTTAATCTATATGTAATCTATAATCTGTAATTCTATGAATTGATCTTGAGTCAGAGCATATGACTTTAAATCTTGGCTCTGACTTTGCTAATCATGTGACCTTGGGCAAGTCCCTGCCCCTCCCTGGGCCTCAGTTTCCCCTTCTGTAAAATGAGAAAGCTAGACTAGAAGGCCTCTGGGATCCCTTCTAGGATCCTATCACCTTCTTGGACCTCAGTTTCTTCTTCTACATAATGAGGGGGCTGGCCTAGACTGGCTTCTGAGATCTCTTTCAGCTCTATTCCTAGAATCCTATCACTTTCCTGGGCCTCAATTTCCCCTTCTGTGTAATGAGGGGGGCTGGCCCAGACAGACTCTGAGATTCCTTCCAGCTCTAGCCCTAGGATCCCTTCAGCTCCCTAGGCCTCAGTTTCCTCCTCTGCATAATGAGGGGGCTGGCCTACACGGCCCCTGAGATCTCTTTCAACCACAACCCTAAGACTGAAGGCTTCATCATCAGCCTGTCTCCTCTCGGCTCCGTCCGGCCTCCTTCCCTTCTCACTCCCAGGACTACATCCCCCACATGACTTAGCGGCCCCGTTGAGCACGTGCCAGGACGTTGGGCGGACCTTCCTGCTGCTCTCTGCGACGATTGGCCGGGCGCCGCGGGACAACGACCAATGGGCTTCGTGCGGGCGGAAGGCGCGGCGGCCATGGTGGCGGCGGGCTCGCGGTGAGGGCTTCGGGATTCGGCTTTGGGCTTCGGGCTTCGGACTTCGGACTTCAGGCTTCGCGGCCTAGGCGGCCTCATGGAGCGGGGCCTCGAGGTGAGCGTGTTCTGATCGGGGGCCGGGCCCAGAGAGCCCCAAGCAACCCCCGTGGCCGGGCCGGCCGGGCCCCTTCACGGGAGTGGGACGGGGAGGGGAAGCTTTGGCCCTTTAACGGGTGGGTAAACTGAGGCATGCGGAGGCGTAGAGGAGGGACACCGAACACGTGCGTGCACACGCCACAGGAACACTGGCAACACACAGCTGCAAGTGATCTCGCCGGCCAACCAGCCCTAACCTCCTACTTTTACTGATGGGGAAACTGAGGCCCAGAGAGGCGAAGGGACTTGCCCTGGGTTCCCCGGGTAGTAAGCTTGGACTCGGGCCCTCGAGGTGTCCAGGGTCAGGCGGCCCCGACTTCCTTAGCAGAGGGAGCTCCCGGGGAGGAAACTCCCTCCCCCCATGTTGCTTGGTGACCTCCCCACCCCCATACGCAGGCTCCCCCCTGGTCGTGCCCTGGACCTCGTGGGCCGTCCGCCTAGGGAAGCTCAGGGCTCCCGTCTCCGAGTTGGCCTTTTAACTGCACAGGAAGCCCATCCTCTCGAAAGAGCTCCCCAAGTACGTAGCAGAGCAAGTTTGGGGACCCCGGGTTCAGAACCCCAGCATAGAGTTTAAGTGACTTACCCAAGGTCACCCAGTCAGAGCTCGGACTTGGTGCCTGGCGTACAGTAAGTGCTTAATAAATGCTGCCTGACTTGACTTCCTGACTGAGAGCCCAGCTACCCCCCTCCCCCCTCCAGGGCTGCCTCTTTTTATTGCTTTCATATATGCGTCAACAAAGTCTTCATTGACTCCCATTGATCATCGGACCAAGTTAGTATTGCTATCTGATGGGCCCACAAATGTTGCAACAGGAAGCATAAGTCATTTTTATTTCTTATATATAGTATTATGGGTATGGTCATACAAGTAGACGGAAGGCGAGCACTGAGGAAGTCCCACACAGGCAGTCAGTCAATCAACATTTATTAAGCACTTACTCTGTGCTAGAGACAAAAGACTGACCATCAGAGCCCTCCAAGGAGCTCACCAGCTAATTGTGAGCATGTTTTGTCCCCCGCCTGAGGCTCTGTGACTTAGACCCCTTCCTACCCTGCTGTCACTTGGAGTCTCTCTGGACATACCCAGTCGTCTCTGTAGATGTGTAAATGCTAATTATTCTCCTCTAAGAACTGGAGGGGATTGGAGATTTCTTGATATTCACCCGCTTCCCCAGAAAGCTTTCCAGGTATAGTCCAAGTTCCAAGTCTTAGATCCCACCCTTGTCTAATTTACCCGTTTTTGCCTTAAAAATATATTTGCCTGAGTCACCGCCCAACAGCATCCTTGCTGGTTGATAAACAAAACCCGCAGACACACGGGGGCACTTGCGTTGTCCCATAGCGGGAGTCAGTAGTTAGCCCACTGACTGCTGGGAAGACACAGGGAGGCTTTGTCCTCAGGCCTCTGGCTTCAGTGTGGGGGTCTCCAGGGTCATTTCTTCTCTGTCTGCTCTTCACCCTCTGGCCAGGCCCTGTGCTCTGCACCGGTTTCTACTGGTCTGACCAGGCTTTCTCTGAATTTACCATCAGTGTCATTTTTTATGACGCTTTACCATGCCCAGGACACTTTGGGCTCTGCCACCCCACCCTTGGGCACCGACATGCTTCCAGAAGGAGCGCCATCGTGATTATTTTATTGTATAAGGCACCCCTTTTCTGTGGTCCACGTCCTGGGGGAGCCTGGCAGTAGTGGGAGGGCTTTGGTCGCATAATTTAAACTTATCTTCCAGAGCAGCAACTCTAATAGCATATTGGGGTGCCTGGCTTCCCCCAGCCCCTCCCGTGTGGGCTGGTCTCGTCTTTTTTCATCTTTGGCCATTTGATGAATTTGAGGGGCAGTAATAGTTCCTTGAATTGGCATTTCTCTTGTTAGTGATTTTGAGCTCTTTTAATATGGTGATTGATCTTGGGGAATGGATCTATGTCCTTTCTGCTCCTCTCCCATTGCCATGCAATGACCATGGGAAGGCACAGTTTGTCCCCTCTCCTGCCCTCCCTTGACATTGGCTTCTGAGTAAGCTTAGGTTTAGACAGTGGATGGTGAAGCATGCCCGCACAAATACCTGCGTGTCTAGACACACACACACACACACACACACACACACACACACACACACACACAGAAGGGGGTGGGCCTGCTTCTAATCTTTTGGTTCCATTAATCGTTTCTTAGAGCTGTGACGCTTAACACAGTTCCTGGTACATAGTAGGGCCTTAATACATGCTGGCTGACCTAACTTGTTGACTCAGCTGTTGAGTTGGAGGTGGGGCATAGGGAGTGTTAATGGTCCTGGTACCTTTTTAAAAATGTATGTGTTGTCAATACTTTTTGTTGTCATATCACCATTATTTTTGGAAATGTCCCCTTTATCCCCTTATTCCAAGGTGAACCCTCCCTTCTCAGAAAGGAAAAAACACCTTTTCCAGTGACTGTCTTGGACAGTGTTCCTGGTACCTTTGAGAGGGTGCTTGGCGGGGAGACCCAGTGCAGCGGCTGACATCGGGTCCCTGGGGCGTCCCTGGGGATGTACCAGGTCTCTAACCTTCTCGTTCACCTCGGGATCATCTCTAACCCTCCTCCCTCTCTGCCACACCCAGGCAGTCCACAAGCATTCATGGAGCACCTCCAGTGTGCCAGGCCCTGTGCTAAGCTGTGCGATTTCAAAGAAAGACAGAAGACAGCCCCTGCCCTCAAGGAGCTCGTAGGCTCCCATCCTCAGCTTCTGTTATTTTCCCACCAGGAGACGCCCTCCTCAGAGAGGATGGAGGATGAAGAGGAGGAAGATGATGATGACGAGGAGGAGGAGGAGGAGGAGCTGGACCTCTTTGGAGGCTACGACGGCTTGCAGGGTTACACTAGCAGCCTGGGCAGCGAGAGCAGCTCCTACCTGGAAGAGTCGAGCGACAACGAAAATGAGCTTCACGACCGCGAAGCCGGGGAGCTCCCCACGTCCCCCATGCTGATGCCCAGCCCCACCGCCCCCCGCTCCCAGGATGGCAGCGGTTCTGAGCCAGGTGCTTTCCGGGGCTCCTCTGGCAGGGGGAAGGGGGAGGGTCGTCCGATCTGCCGTCCAGCCTGGAGAGCGCAGTCGCCCCGAGGCGGCCCTTTGTCCAGCCTCAGGCTGAGCGGGCGTCTCCCACCCAGGCGCTCCGGGGACCAGTGGTCTCTGCTGCAAGACCCCTCTGAGCGTGAAGGGCAGGGCGGCAGAGGAGGCTGGGCTCGGGGCGAGGCCCAGCATTCTGTCCCAGCTGAATCGGCATTTCTCTTATTCTTAGTGATTTGGAGCATATTTCATGTGCTATTGATCTGTCTAGTCCGGAAGCCTCTGGCTCCTGCTTGAGCCCGACCTGTGTGAATAGCCATTCATTTTTGTGTGTGGATGAGGCCTCGTGCCCTGGATGAGAGAGTCGGTGGAAAGAGCCGCTCTGCCGCTTAACACGGGTGCTGACTTTGGTGTCGAAGGGCCTGGGTTCACGTCCTGGCCTCTTCCACTTAGTAGTTGTGTGACCTTGGGCAGGTCTCTTCTCCTTCAGCCTCGGTGTCCTCATCTGTAAAATGAGGGAGCTTGGACTCAGAGCCACCAAGGTCTCTTCTGGCTCTAAGTGTGTTCACGGACCCTGCAGGTCATTTTACAGATGATGACATTGTGCCCCAGGCAGGCCAAGGTCACGCAGTGCATCAGAGGCACGACTTGAACGCAGGTCTTCTCATTTCCAAGGCGGCGCTCAGATTTGGGAGTTCCATGATGCAGACTGCAGCCAGCTCCTCTCTGCCTTTATGCTCCCCAAAGGTCCATCCAAAGTCTGGAGGCCTGCCTTGTCAGCTGGCTACACTCATCATCTGTGTACAACCCGTTATGGTTCTCCTCCCTCCCATTTAATCGTCCCCCATCACAAAGGAAACTGGGCCAGTGGGAGTCCCTGATGCCTCATTCTGCTGTCACAGCCCCCACTCTCCGCTGAGCAGAGGGAAGTGTGGCTCAGCATCCCTTGGGACCGGCGCTGGCGTGGCCCTTCCTGACGCGGTCGAGCCGCTGCCTCGGCCCTCGAGGAAGCAGGGTGGGGAGAGGTGCGTCGCTTCGCCTGCCCTCCCACGGCGGTCAGCTCCTCCGTCTCCAACCCTTCCCTGGATCTTCCTTGTGTTCACTGGGTCTCCCAGGGCATTCCGGCCTGAAGGATCATGGCAGGGCCTCGGCATTCTTTCCCTGTTTGGATTCTAAGCGTCCTGTGGTGGGGGCTTGAGCCGGTCTAATCAGCTGGTTCGGGAAGACTCCCGTGAGTCAGCTCCCAGTGCTGGGGGTGGCCGGGTCACGTTGCCTGTTTTCTCTTCTCTCTAGCCGTCTGTGAGATGTGCGGCATCGTTGGCACACGAGAGGCCTTCTTCTCCAAGACGAAGAGGTTCTGCAGTGTCTCCTGCTCTCGCAGCTACTCCTCCAACTCCAAGAAAGCCAGTATCTTGGCGAGGTTGCAGGTGAGGCTGAGACGTCTCCGTGGGGGGCCTGTCTGGCTGATGGCGGGCCCTGGACAACTGCCGAACAAAGCCCAGAGGTCCCTGTCCCTGCGGGGCTTGCGTATTGGGCGCCAGGTTCTGGGGATGCGGTGAGGGAAATGAGGCGGGGCTTGCCTTCAGGGAGCTTACATTTCACCAGTGGACTTTACAGGAGCTGGGGCCCTGAGATGGTAAAGGGAATTTCCCAAGTCAGTGACATGGGTGGTCTCCCAGACCTGATGAAGTGGATGGCGCCCAGGAGCCTGGCGCTGGCGTGCCTGCCTCCAATTCTCCGTGTGACTTTGGGCAGCTCACTTACCATCGTGGGCCTTCGTAGAGGTCATTTAATCCAAGCCCCCATTTTCCAGATGAGGAAGCTGAGGGCAGAGCAGGGGTTAGAACCCAGGTCTCCTGCTCCCCCCTGGTGCTCTCTCCAGCACCCTGGGCACTGACTCGATGTGTCTGACTTTCGTTTTACTCATTTGTAAAGTGGGGGCTCGGGTCTCTCCTGGCTTCTTTGGACGCGTGGCCTGCCTTTGGAGTCTAATTCCGTTCCCTCCTCTGGCTCCAGACTTGCCCGTTAGCCGGGGCTGCCCTGGATGCCGTTGGGACATGGAGCATCCTGGGCCAATAGCCCCCCTGCCCACAGCTGGAATTTAGTGGGGAGGCAAGACTGGCAGGTATTGGGAGGAGGTGAGCCGTGGGACAGGAGCAAGCATTTAGTAAGCACCTGCTGCATGCCAGGCATTGAGCGATAAACGTGGTCCTCACCACCACCCTAAGAGGCAAACGCTGCTGTTAGTCCCACTTTACAGTTGAGTAAACTGAGGCAGACAGCAATTAAGTGACAAGCCCGGGGTCACACAGCTTAGTAGGTGTCTGGGGCTGGATTAGAGATCTAGACCAGGTTGCTCAAAGTCCTGAGGTCGTCTTGACCTCCAGGCCCGGGCCACTCAGCTTGTGAGACGTACAAAACAGTGTGTTGTATGTGATCCTCTAAGTGCCCTGGGAGTTCTGAGGAGAGGTCTGTGGGGTCTGGTGTGGTCAGGGAAGGCTTCACCATAACACATTTCTTTAACATGTGAAGAACTAGAAGGTTCTTTCCTCACCACGATCCCTCCCTGCCTGAGAGAGGCAGGGGAGATGATGGTCATTTTACAAGTAAGAAAACTGAGGCCCATAGCAGTTAAGGAGCTCGTCCAGGGTCATTTAGCTGCTAAAGAGTGAAGCAGGGTGATTCAGGGCTTCTGATTCTACGAATGGATGAACTAATAGAGTATTTATTAAGCGCTTATGTCCAAAAGGCTGAACGCAGTGCTGGGGATAGAGAGGAGAGTGACCGTCTGAGCCCAGGCCTGGAGCTGGAACTCAGAGAATATGAGGCTTTGGAGCTGGATGGGCTCCATCTTAGAAGTCCACCATCTTTTTTTTTTATTATTAAATCTTTTTTCCTAGCTTTTACAAAGAAACATTGACTTTGAAGGTATAGCAAGGTCAGACATTTTCCTCAGCATATCAGTAGCATAAGCCCCCTTCTCCCAGCCTGTCTGGGGGCGCGGGGCAGGGCTGGGAAGGGGCAGGGTTCAGTTTGATTCATTCATCCATCCTAAGCCTGCCTGGGCTAGCATCCCCAGCCCCTGGCTTCTCCCGCCTTCCCCAGTCTGGAGTCCTGACTCCCAGGGTCCTCAGGACTTTGAGCTCCTGGGTCTGGGACTGGGAAGGACAAAGCATGGGGGAAACAGACTAAAACGTCAGGCCTGCTTCTGGTGGGTGGTGGTGTCTCCCCGGCCCCCAGTGTCACCTGCTCTGAATGAGTCCTTCAGTGTGGGTGCCCGCATTTTACAGAGAGGCCCGAGGTCGCTGAGGCAGGAATCGGAGAAGACAGATTTTGAACCCACGTCTCTGGCAGCCACGTACAGGACTTCTGCTGGGCCAAGGCAGGCCTAGACAGGTGTCTTGTGTGGCTCTGCCTTTTGTCTCCACGTGACCTTTCTGGGCCTTAATTGTCTCCTCTGTAAGCTGAGGGCTGGACTTGGGCCTTTGATGTCCTCAGTCCAGGGCTCTGCAGCTTAGCGAGGGCCCTTCTCCCCTTGCCCAGTTCTTCTTCCACCGCACCCCTCTCCCCAGTTGTATGTGCGCTCCCTGGGGGCAGGGATTCTATCTGTGTGCCCCCCGTGCCCAGCACCCATATCAGTGCTTCCTGAACAGAGCCACCAGGGTACCCTGCTTTCTGTGCCCTCCTCCAGGGGAAGCCACCCACCAAGAAGGCCAAGGTCCTTCATAAGGCCGCCTGGTCTGCCAAGATTGGCGCCTTCCTCCATTCCCAGGGAACGGGGCAGCTCGCAGATGGAACCCCGACCGGGCAGGATGGTGAGGATGGGGTGTTCTGGGGACTGGGCCAGGTGGGGAGGGGGCCGTCCGTTTGGGTGAGCCAAGGACTGTGGGGCTGTGGAGCATCCAGATGGGGTGAGGTCGGCGTAGGTGAGAATCTCGCAGTGTCAGACACGTGTCTGTCAGGTAGCACGCAGCCGGTCCAGAACGGAACTCCTTAGCGGTCCCCCTCTCCTCCCAACCTGGCCGTATTACTGGGCATTTTTTATTTTGGCATCAACTTTATTTCCAAATAGATCCTTTGCCACTCCTCTGCCTTTTGAACCATCCCTTGTAACAAAGAGTGTAAAGAAGGAAGAGAAATAAGGTACAGACACGACCCCCCTCCCAGCATATCAGCTCTGAACCCCAGGCATTCCCTCATCCCTGTTATTCCAGGGTTCCTTCAAAGCCCAACTCAGGAAGGTTCCCCTGGATGCACGTGTGTATAGACACACATAGACACACGCACACACACCGCGCGCGCGCGCACACACGCACACGCACACACACACACACACACACACACACACACACACACACACACACGGCAAGAGAAGACCAGCGCTCCCCCAGGAACCTGGTGGGGTTAGGGCTTCAGAGCTGGGCCAAAGGTGATTCCCCAGCCCTGGCCTAGGTCCTGGAGGTAGCTGACAATTAATTAGTGTCTGTTAAATTGAATAAAAGCGTTTAGGCGTGGCCCAGTTCAGTCATCTACCCAAGGTCCTACAGCCACCTAGGCTGAGGGTGCCTGGGCCCCCCTTCCCTGGCAGCCTGTCTGAGGAAGCTTCTGGACCCCTTCTTAGTATCATGAATGAAATCAGATACATAGGATTATGTAGGAAGTCAATTACTTCGTAATACATTATCAAAATAAGTTTTAAAACAAGTTCACAGACCCCTGGCCTAGGGGGCGTGGCGTCCTTTGCTTCTGGCTCTGAATCTGTGGGAGGGGTTTCTGGAGGCTGGAGCTGGACTGGGGCTGGGGCTGGGACAGCGGCTTCCCCCCAGGCCAGATCCCTGGATGTAGAGGAGGGGGCTAGCTCTCTAGGAGCGGCCCACAGACCTTGGGCGTCCACCCCCACCTCTACTGCTGGCTGGGAGAAATGCCTGTGCCTTGGGAGGCCTTCTGAGGCTAGACCCGCCCTTCCTCATGGCAGCAGGTAGGCAGGTGTGTTAGGAGCTTGGGTGGGGATCAGGGGCTGCAGGGGCCTGCCCCTCCAGAGCTCCTGCAGCCCCCCTCCTTTCTCTGTTCTTTCACATGCTTGCAGCTTTGGTCCTGGGCTTCGACTGGGGGAAATTCCTAAAGGAACACAATTACAAGGCAGCCCCAGTCAGCTGCTTCAAACATGTAAGAACCTGGGCCTGTCTCGGCTTGGGGGTGGGCGGGGATGAAGGGTGTTCTGGCTGCCCCTTGTGGCCCCTGGACTGGGGAGCTCTGGCCCTGGGCCTGGGGTGGTTCTGACTGGTCCTGTCCCACAAACGTGGAGCCTTTCCTATGGCGGCGTTGGGGTGGTCCCTGCCCTGGGTCTCCTTGGCCTTGATCTCTTCCTCCAGTCCTGGGCATTAGCACTGTCCTGGTTTGGCTGTCCACTCCCCCTGTGACCTTGGGAGCCTCCTCTTTGGGTCAGGGATTGTTTGAGTCCTTTTCAGTTTTTGTCTCCCTGTGGTTCCTGGCTGCTGTAGTTGGCTACTTGGGCCAACCCTGGGTGCCCAAAGAAGGGTTAAAGATCCCCTGCCCTCCGTGAGCTCCCAGTCTAATGGGGAGACAACATGGAAACCGCCGTATACAGACCACATGGAGACAGGCTGAATCCCAGCGCTGGGCTCTTCTCACTTACCTTGGGGATGTCCCAGGGAAGGTGCTAGCAGTGTGGTGACTGTACACAGTCAGCACTTAATAATTGCTTCAGCCAGTATTAAGCACCATCCCCACGGGTAGTCGCTGACATTTACCTGGGGCTCAGCTTGGCAAAGCTCTGTCCGTAATATTCCTAGCTCCTTGGACCTTCACTACACCCTGTGAGCTAAGGGCAGCACTGGCTCCATTTTACAAATGGGAAAAGACTTTTGGCGCCTTCTAGGAACATAGCTCTAGAGAGGCCAACTAGTCCAACCCACTTTATGTTAGAGGAGGAGACTGAGGCCTGGAGAGGCACACAATGAGGAAACTGAGGCAAGATTTGAATTCAGGTCCTGCTTACTCCCCAAACCAATGCTTGTGGCCTCTGTCACTGTCTTTCACCCCACCCCCTCTCCCTGCCTCTCCTTCTCTCAACACCAGGCCATCAAGCTGCCCATAGAAATGAGGTCATGGTTGAGGGCTTTTCAGAGAGATCTCGGGGGTCCCTGACTATGCAGCCTCAGGGGGGGACCAGTGGGAGGGAGCCCAACCTGCCCTTTCTTATCTCCCCATTGGCTGCTGATGGAGAGGCCCTCCACCCTGGGAGTGTGCCTCCTCTGCTTTCCCACTGTGACCTTGACTCCTCCTCTGAAAGCTTTGGGGAGGAGATGTGCCCAAGGTTTCTTCTTATCTGCTTATCACCTCTGTGACTCCTGCTTTTCTGATCCTTCCTTTGCAGCCTCCTTCCTGTCCTGGGCGGAAGAAAGGGAGGGTTTCCTTAGACCCCCAGGGCTGGCACTGAGTAGGCAATTGTCATTTGCATGATTGTATGAGGTCTCCTCCCTCCGATTGTCCCGGTTATTTTGTTGCAAACCTTAGTGCTGTGGTATGCCTGGGGGCCCATGCTAAATCACCCATTCAAGGCAGTGCCTGCTAGGTCAGACAGTCAGTAAGGCTTCATTAAGTGCATTCTGTGTGCCCAGCACTGTGCTAAATGATAGTGGAAGTAGAGAGACATCTGGTGCCAGGGGAATCAGTGAGGAGGGCTGTTGGTGCCTGTGGAGGGAGGGGGCAGATCACTGGGGAGGGTCTGGGAAGGCCTCCTGAGGTCGAGTTAGAGATGGGAAGGGGTGCGTGTGTGTGTCTGTGTCTGTGTCTGGAACCACAGTGAGCGCAGCGTAGGGGCCGGAATGTGCTTGGGGTGAACCGTTCTAGCCTGGGGAATGTTGGCACATGGCCACTCAGCTCTTATCCCCAGGCTCAAGGTGCTCTGGGTTCTGCTCTTGGTAAGAACAAGTTGTGAAAATCAAGTTCTGCTTGAGCCCAGAGGGGAGAACTAGGAGTAGGAGGATGGCCAGAGGCTGGTTCCTGCTCAGAAGAAAAACATTTTTTAAAATTGAAAATTAGAAAAGCCCTAAGTAACCCTGGGAACCAGGCTAGGCCTTGGGGCCTGAGGGATCCCCCAGTCCTTACAACCTTACTCAAGCTCACAGACATCAAACTCAAGACCTCTGACTCCAGATCTGGGATTTGGGCCTGTGTAGGGCCCTGCACAGGGCGGGCACTCTAGGCAGGGGTGGGGAACCTGCAGCCTCGAGGCCACGTGTGGCCCTCTAGGTCCTCAGATGTGGCCCTTTGACAGAAGGGGATTTGTTCTGTGAAGTTTGGATTCAGTCAAAGGGCCGCACCTGAGGACCTGGAGGGCCACGTGTGGCCTTGAGACTGCAGGTTCCCGGCCCATGCCAGTCTGTGCTGGCCTCTGAGGAGGCCAGCCAACCAGAAGCCTTTATTGAGGCCTGGTGATGGAGGGACCGGCCACCTACTCCGCCTATTTCCAGAGCTACAAAGAAAGGCCAAAAAGTGCTGTGCTCAGGGAGGAGGGAACGAGCGTTGGCCCACTCGTGCCAGGCTCTGTGTTACCCCCGCCTCCCTCCCACTCCCCGCTTCGAGCTTGGGGGGGTCCCTCTCTTGGCCTCCCTTTTCTCCCTGCAAATTGCAGGCGTTGGACCGAACGCCTCTAAGGCCCCTCAGCCTGTCCGTGCTGCTTGGGCCCAGCTCCCAGAGCAGAGCTCTTCCTAGCCCACATTTGGAAACACTTTTTCTTCTAGTGGGCAGAAATCTGCCTCCCTGTGACCTCCTTCAGTGGGGCCTAGTTGTCCCCTCCCGGAACTGAGTGGAATTTCATCTCACTAAACACAGATGACCACTGGCTACAGAGCACCCCTCCCCAGCCTTGGGGGCCCCGCCCAGTTACATAAGATGGGGTCTTTGCCTCTTGGAGCTCACACCTTATGAGGGGAGAAGAAGAAACTCCAAGTACCGGCTGATTTTGGTGGACAGCTTTCATCTCAGATGTTTTCCTGAGTCAATCCATCTTTCCTCCAAATGATTGCAGCCCTTTAATAGGGTCCAGGGCTGGGCTAAGCTTGGGGATTAGAGTTGGGGTGGGGATCAACCCAGCAGGCTTCCTGGACCTGGTGCCTTTGGGCCAGGGCCTGGAGTAGGCCCCTCTTCTTCCCTGCAGGTTCCGCTGTTTGATCAGTGGGATGATGTGGTGAAAGGGATGAAAGTGGAGGTCCTGAACAGTGATGCCGTGCTCCCCAGCCGCGTCTACTGGATCGCCTCCGTCATCCAGACAGCAGGTGAGCCTGAGGGCTCAGAGAAAGACCAGCCCTCAGTCCTGAGTTCAGGTGCTGCCACTGACCAGCTGCTCGAGTAATTTGGTGGCCCTGGTAGCCGAGCCTGGGGATTGCGTGGCCAGTGGCTGAGCTGGCTCTGGGCCCGAGCTCCAGTTTCCTTCTCTCTGTGGGGACAGTTATCGCGCTTGGGTTTGGGATCATCGGTGAGGGAGGGGCCGGTGGTGGTAGGTGCTGTGTCGGGGGTTAAGATGAGGATTCTAACCCTTTGGCTCAGACTGAGGAAGCCTTACGGAAGAGGCCAGGCAGAAGGGGGGGCCCAGTGTCTCCGAGTGCCCCAGTGTCTCCGAGTGCCCCCCTCAGTCTCCTCCCTCCCTGCAGGCTACCGGGTGCTCCTTCGGTACGAAGGCTTTGAGAACGACTCCAGCCATGACTTCTGGTGTAACCTGGGCACCGTGGACGTGCACCCCATCGGGTGGTGTGCAATCAATAGCAAAATCTTGGTGCCCCCACAGAGTGAGTGTGGGCCCTTGTGGGAGGGTCTGCATGTGTGGGGGAGGGGGCTCTGGGCCATGGTCTGTGGTCAGCAGGAGCGTAATAAGCCTTCCCCTGGACCTCTGTCTCCACAGCCATTCACGCCAAGTACACAGACTGGAGGAGTTACCTTATGAAGCGGCTGGTGGGAGCCCGGACCCTCCCGGTGGATTTCCACATTAAGGTTAGGGTCTTTAGCATCCCTTCCGTGGTTTCCCCTTCCCTGCAGACGTGTCGCTCCCGTGTCCTGGCCCATCCTTCCTGCATCCTGATACCTGCTTTTACTGAGTACCTGCTATATGTCAGGGGCTGGTGGTGGGGATACTGAGGCGGAAGCAAGGCTGCGAGCTCTTCGAGGCCGCTGGAATGCCCTGGACCCCTTCTGGAGTCTTGGAGACCTTGCCCCTTATTTTAAACTGGACAGGGCTGAGGCCCAGAGAATTGGCTAAGGTCATTGTGCTGTGGCCCTAGGAGGGCTAAGGACCACTAGCTTGGGATTACCCATGGCCCTAAGGAGCGTAGTCTCGCCTGGTCATCAGCCCCTGTTCTGCAGGACGTGAGGAGGGATGGAGCAAGGCTCCCTAAGCACCTCCCGCGTGCTGAATGTTGGCCTAGACGAGGGGGCGGTGCCAGGTTCAGATGTGGCCACACGCTCCTGCTTGGGGAGCTGGCTGCCGAATCCAGGGGTAACACTGACCCACATAACCAGAGCTGCAGGACGGCATGCGGCTCGGTCTCGGGGGCCTCTGGGCATCAGGGAGAGGGTGGAGACACTGAACTTTAAGGGATTGTAGTGATTTGGCTGGTGAGGACTTGCCACACATAGGACAAAGGCATGGAGGTGGGAAAGAGAAGGCCTTAATCCTGGGACTGGAAGGAGGGAGGGAGAAGAGAAGATGAGGAGGAGGGGCAGCACCAGGTGATTGGTCATGAAGTGCTCCCTGTGAGGGCTTCGACGACAGGCCTGAGGGCTTGTAGGCACCAGGCGGCCACTGGAGGCTTTTTGAGGGAGGGTGGTGACAGTTATCCAGAGTCTAGAAGCGTCTGCTGTCAGGGAGCCTCAGGTGTGTGTAGTGAGGCAAGTTAAACACCTGGAGTGTGTGCTGAGGACTTAATGTGATGTGAAGGTCGTTCAGGGAAAGAGACAGGCTTTATGGACAAGGTGGAAGTGGGTGGCCTCCTCCAGCTCATCCCTGGGTTCCATGGGCTCTGTCCCAGCCCTGACATCCCCTGCTCTAAGGCCCCTCCCAGCCCTGACATCCCCTGTCCTAAGCTCCCTCCCAGCTCAGACCTTCTAAGGAATATTGACCAGAATCTCCAGATACTGGGGACTAACTGATCAGTCAGCTCTTGACGGGCCAAGGGGCCTTCCTTGTTTGTGGCCAGTGTCTGGAAGACAGAGTTTGGGGGTGTTCTTGGGTAGACTTTAAGGAGGCTCTCGGTGAGTCACGGAACTGCAGCATAGGCCTCAGGGACAGCTGGAAGCCTTGGTTCCCGTACCCGGAAGTCTCTCAGGCCAGGCTTTGCCGGGGCCTCTCCCTGCTCCTGGCCTGCCCTGCTCCCTCTGCTGGCCTGACAGGGGACATGTCCGGGAGCATTCTTCCTGTCCTCAATGCTTCTCTCTCTCTCTCTCTCTCTGTCTCTCTCTCTCTCTCTCTCTCTCTCCCTCTCTCCCCCCCCCCCCTCCCCTCTCCCTCTTTTCTCTCCTCTCTCTCTCCCTCTGTTCTCTGTCTGTCTGTCTCTCTCCCCCCCCTCCTCTCTCTCTCTCTTCTCTCTCTGTCTCTCTCTGTCTCTCTTCCTCCCTCCCTCCTTCTGTCCTCTCCCTCTTTTCTCTCCTCTCTCTCTTTCTCTCTCTGTCTCTCTCCCTCTCTCTCTCTGTCTCTCTCCCTCTCTCTCTCCCTCTCTTGTCTCTGTCTTTCTGTCTCTCTTTCTCTGTCCCTCCCTCCCTTCTTCTGTCCTCTCCCTCTTTTCTCTCCTCTCTCTGTCTCTCTTTCTCTCTCTCTGTCTCTCTCCCTCTCTCTCTCTCTCCCTCTCTCTCTCCCCCTCCCTCCCTCTCTCTCTCCCTCTCTTGTCTCTGTCTTTCTGTCTCTCTCTGTCTTTCTGTCTCTCTCTGTCTTTCTGTCTCTCTCTCTTTCTCTGTCCCTCCCTCCCT